ATCTTGAGCGAGATGCTTTTCTCTACTCTGGGTCCATGTTTCTACTAATGGCTAGCCAGATTCTTCAATGAAGTTTTCCTGCAGGCATGACAAACCCCAGTATTTCCTTGTCATACTTCAAAGGAAAACTCAAACTGACAGGACTGACTGAGCTGTTGGAACTGAATGTAGCAGATACGCTTTGCAAGAAAGCAGGAGAAAAAACTTCTTGTTCCTCTCTTCCTTTTCTTTCTTTTACTGTTCATAAAATCACAGTTGTGTACAGTAGCAAGGCCTATGTTTAATTTAGGGCAAATCCAAAACTGAGTTTCAGAAAAGATTTGTTCAGTCTTCTTTGTAAGCTCTTCTGATATATTGTAGATAGGACTATGTTTTACCAGGCAACACTATGTATCTGGGAAATATTTCCCTCCTCCCACTTTTCCCCACAACCACCACCCTGTGAAGTAGGTTAAGCTGAGAGAGAGCAACTGGCCCAAAGTCACCCAGTGAGCTTCCATGACTGAGGGTGGACTAGAACCTGGATCTCCCCACTCCTAGTCCAACATCTGAAGTGCTAACCACCCTGGCTCTCCCCCCACTTTTTTTTCATTTCACAAGATGCCACTGCCAGTCTGCTTGCCCTCTCCTCGTTTCCTTCCTCCTGCTCTCACCACACTGCTAACTTGCTGCCTCACCGTTGCTACTCCCTCTCCTGCAGCTCTATAATAGGACTTTTTTTTTTTAATTTTTTTACCTAGCAGTGAGTTGATCCAAACAAACACTGTGTTTGAGGTGCAGCATCACCTTGTGCAGTCAAATAAAAGCAAACTATGGACACAGGTTCAAACTTCCTGTGACTTAAGTAAAAAAATATTCAGGCTATGAGGATGATTTAATAACGAAGGAAATTTTTAAATCCTCTGTAAGGAAGTTAGGGTTTATTTTGTCAGATGCTTTAAGGAAATAAAATGGTTACTTTTAATGGTTTCAACTTCAGAGAAATAACCACTACTAATGAACCACTAAGTCTCGCATAATCATAAAAAGAAATAAAAGTTCCTTCAGTTAAGAAAGTTCCTTCAGATCTATGCTTGTAACAAATCATCAGTTTAACAATTACAAATTTAATAATCTCTACCACCAAGCCACTTGAGCCTCAAGACAGGTAAGTAATGGATACCACTGGAAAAGATTAAAACCACAATACTGTTTCATTACTACCATATTATAATCAGTTGCTCATGTTTATTAGTTACAAGGAGTTAAGATTTACATGGCATCAAGTAGCTACAAAATAAGCTCCTCCTATTATTTACATAATTGCTGCCCGATTACCTGCTATTTCATTCATCTAGAAATGTCTGGAGTTTGGCAGCTAATAAATTTAAACAGAGAAGGAGGAGGAGGAGGAGGAGGAGGAGATTATACACTAAATATAGAAAGCTCACTCATAAATGGCTAGACTGATGCTCTCTTTAAGGCACTCCAAACTTAACAATTGTGAAAATCTCCACACATAAAATCTCACATCTAGAACTGCTTAGAATCGCAATTACTTACTCTGAAATAGTTTAAGTTTTACTACATCAAATGCATCCTAAGGTAATGAAGGAACTAGCTGATGATCTGGCTCATCCCTTATGTATTTTTCTGAGAAATCCTAGAGAACTGGTAATATGCTGGGTTACCAAAATGCAAATGTTGTCCCTGTTTTCATCCAGGGATTACAAATCAATCCAACAGTGATACCTAAGAAACTGTCTACAGAATATCATAAAAAGTTTAATAAAGACCACAAAATCAATCATGGATTTGTCAAGAACAGGTCTCACTAGACTAAACTAATCTCATTTTTGATTGGGTAGCTTACTTAACAGTTTATAGGTATCTGTAATCATGATATATTTTGGGTTTAGCAAAGCATTTGAAAAACCATTCATTTATGCATTCATTGCCTGCATATGCTAGGCCTTATATAGTGTTTCAATCCAGGATGACCCCATAATCTGTGAACTGGCAAGCTAATAAGGATAGGTAGATAGCATGACCATTAAGTTGATAAATTACTGGCTCAAAAAGTATTCATCAGTGGTTCCACATCAAACTAGAGAGCAGTATCAAGTGTAGAAGGACAAGGATCAGTCCTGATCCTCTACTCATTGATATTTTTTATTAACAACTTGAATGAAAATGTAGAGGAAATGCTTATCAAATCTGAAAGTAATACAAAATTGATGGAAAAGCTAATACTCTATAAAACAAGAAATAAATTTAAACAGTCTTGATACGTTAGTGAAGTAGGCTGAAAGTAAAAGTATGAAATTTAACAGAGACAAATGCAAAGTTAATCACTAAATAAACACAAATCAAATGCACAGTAATGGTACCTGTGAAAAATATCCTGCAATATTGAACATGAAGAAGCTGTGTGATGAGGGTGTAAAAAAGGCAGATGTGATTTTTGGTTGCATCAACAGTAATATTTCTAAATTGTACCACTATATTATGGTTTGGTCAAACCCCACATTTGTAGAACCAGTTACCTTTTGTGTTTAGGGGTGTGTGTGTGTGTGTGTTTCATTGGATTGGGTTCATCGCCTGTATGGGATACTTTAATTTGGATTCCTGCCCTGAGAAAAAAGTTGGAATCAATGGCCTAAAAGGTCTCTTCCCCCCCACCCCCATGATTCTAAGCAAAATAATTGTAAGACTACATATGTTGTTGAATCCGTTGGTTAAATTTACTGCTCCTCAAACTGAAACAGATCTTCTAAGCAGAGTATACAAAGGTTAGCAACAATGCCTAGTTTTCTTTTTTGAATCATAATATCATCTCCAATATTTGCTTTTCACTGTGCCCCATAATATTAACCAGACTTCACAGTTTTAATTCCATTGTTGTACGATAGAGAAGTAATGTAGATATTTCCAAATATATTGGTTTTGGACCATTCCCATACTATCTACCATCCATTTTTTTAATGGAAAGTT